TGGAAATGGTCACGCAAAGAACAATCTTCGATAAGTAAAAATGTCAGCTATTCTAAAAAAGAATGTGAGAGAGGGGCTAAAAAAAAAAGACAAATGTAAAAGACAAACAGCAGAAAAACATAGTCAGTAAAATCCCCAGCTATCAGGTTATTTTACTAAATATGATGATGGAGTAGAAGTTGTGAAACAGCAAGTGGACCAGGCACATGGAGCAGATCAAATCAGCACCATCGTCCGCACAGTTTTTAGGTTAGTTTGATTATTAACTTGATGGATGTATTTGGCTTTTTGTGTTTGAACAAACTCTATATATTCGCTTAAGGGTTGGGAAATAACCCGGTAGAAAAATGTCAATCGTTTTGCACTTTATGATGTAAGCTTAAACGCATTTTAAGCATTGTGGTTTAAAAACAAATGGTTTTAAACTATTCATGGACATTAAGCAGCAGGGCAGAATTCTTGATGATAAATGTGCACGTTAAGACGGTTTCAGCCTGATACGTGCGGCGCGCACCTGCTCGTACAGCGCCTGACTAAACTCTAACTAAACTAAACTAAAAAGTTATTTTTTGCACCTTGTGCTTAAACGTTCAAATACACATAGTTATGTGTCAAAATGCCAGTCTTTGCGAGTATCCTCGTCAACACAGTCAGTTGTGTCTTACATGAACGTTAATAGTTAAAGATAAAGCATGTGTAGTAGAAGGCTATATGAGATCCTGGCATTATATGATCTTCACCCAAAAATGAAAATACTGTCATCATTTACTCACCCCTCACGTTGCTCTAAACCTGTATGAATTTCTTTGTTCTCCTCAACAAAATAGAATATATTTTGAAGAATGTTCATAACCAAAAAGTTTCTGGTCCCCATTTTCTCCAATAGTGTTTTTTTTTTTTTGGTTACCAGTATTGTTCCAAATATATTATTTTGCGTTCAACAGCAGAAGGAAACTCATACAGGTTTAGAACAACAACAGAATTTTCATTTTTAGGTGAAATATTCCTCTAAAGCAGCCTAATATAGCTGCTGTTGCCATTTGTGTCAATAATGTAAATCAAACATCAGAAAGAAAATCACTCTCTGTCCTTGACTGAATCACTTTTGTAAAATAAGTAAGAATTAATGTATATTGAATTTATACAGTGAATACAATTCATTCTATTTGTACATTTACTTTATACAATATAATATTTCTTATTAATTTTTTTTAAGTTTTTCAAGTAGGTTGATTTCGTATGTATTTTTGTGCTATTATAATTTGTGACTGTTTACTTGTTCAGTGAGCTTGGTTTTACTTGAGCTAGTATTTTTTTGTGATATTGAAATTGGTAACAACAATTATGAAATTTCAGTGCATCAAAACATTTTGATAGCATAAAATCCTATTTATCATATATAGATATAGATAAAATCCTATATATCATTATTGTGATGGGGGGCCCTGCAGTAAGTCATAGCCCCAGGGCCCAGTGAGGTCTTTCTCAGACCACATTGCTAAAACTGCCTGGTCCTGCAGATCCAGGCTGGACTATTGCAATGCTCTCTTGGCAGGTCTTCCAGCCACTTCTATCAAACCTCTACAATTAATCCAAAATGCCGCTGCAAGATTAATCTTTAATGAGCCGAAAAGAACGCATGTCACACCTCTGTTCATCAATTTGCGCTGGCTACCAGTAGCTGCTCGCATTAAAATCAAGGCATTAATTTTTGCCTATAAAACCACCACTGGCTCTGCACCCATTTACCTAAATTGATTACTTCAGAGTTATGTGCCCTCTAGAAGCTTGCGTTCTGCAAGTGAACGGCATATTATTGTGCCATCTCAAAGAGGCACAAAATCACTTTCACTGACTTTTTCATTAACTGTTCCCTCCTGGTGGAATGACCTGCCCAAATCAATCCGAGCAGCTGAGTCCTTAGCCATCTTCAAGAAACGACTAAAAACCTCATCTGTTCCACCTTTATTTGACCCTCTAACTCTAGCACTTTCTATTCTATTTTAATTATACTTTATCTATATTGATCTTCTTTTTTATTACAAACACTAGCTTTCTACTTTTTCTATTCTATCTACTTGTTTTTCTTTGTGTGTGTGTGTGTGTATAATATATATATATATATATATACACCTTGCTACGTGTACTGCGTTAGGCTAACCGAGACTTGTCATTTGCACTTATATATTATTGCTCTTTTGTTAGTTTTGACTGCTTTTATTGTCCTCATTTGTAAGTCGCTTTGGATAAAAGTGTCTGCTAAATGACTAAATGTAAATGTAAATGCCCTGCATACAATGATTAATAAACACATACAAGCCACACCTCTGCGCCGGTGAAATTGTAAAGCTCAAAATTATGCTCTTAATTCTGATCACACATTAGCATGAGAGTTTGCACAACGACAAACTGACATTATGCTGTATGGGAGACTGGGGCAAGTTGGCACAATTTAAATCAATTTCTGTATGCACTGGGAATAAAAATGTGAAACAATTGGCAAGTAACATGAAATGGCAAGTAGTACACTCAATTAAATGTAAAATTTTGAAGTAGAAAGACAAATACTATTTTCTTGTTAAATATAATCTAGTAATCTTTGTTTTATTTACAACAGCGAATAATAATTTTTACAGTGTAGAAACATACTTTAAAGTCTTGGCTACGAAAAAGGCTAGGAAAAAATGTGCAGCTTATTTAACACATTGACCTTTTGTGACAACATGTTCCAATACCTTCATACGCTCAGTGTCACAAATGTGATAATTTAACTGGTGACTCTAATAATAATAATAATAATAATAATCATTAAATCTATTCTATTCTATTCTATTCTATGCCATCCTAGGTGTATATGACTTTCTTCTTTCATACGAATCCAGTCGGAGTTATATAAAAAATTGTCTTTGATCTTTCAAGCTGTTTCATGGCACTCAGCGGGTGTTGCATGCATCAGTCCAAAAGCACTTAATTAAAACGTGCCCATCCCTAAAAAAAAAAAAGTCTCTCACACGGCTCCGGGGGGTGAACAAAGGCCTTCTGTAGCGAATCGATGCGTTTTTGTAAGAAAAAGATCCATATTCAAAACGTAATAATCACTTTAATGTAGCTTGCTCTCACTTTTGTACACTGGAAGCAGTTCCGGGTGGATGACGTATGGAGGTCGGCTTTGCGCATGCGCCGCTCAGAAGTGACGCACGCGTAAGCACAGGGGAGAGATCAAGACAAAACAACGGTCACTAATTAGAAGTAGGATTTCGACTGGTTTTCCTTTGCTAAAGTAAGGAAACTTTGCTTCCTTTGCTCTATGTGAGACACTTTTTTTTATGGATGGGCACTTTTTATTTAACTGCTTTTGGCTTGATGCATGCAGCAACCGCTGAGTGCCATGAAACAGCTTGAAAGATCAAAGACAATTTTTTTATATAACTCCAACTGGATTCGTCTGAAAGAAGAAAGTCATATACACCTAGGATGACTTGAGGGTGAGTAATTCATGGGCTAATTTTTCATTTTTGGGTGAACTAACGCTTTAATTCATGTTAAAAAAAAGTTATTTTTACAACAATATAACAAACCAAGATTATTCATGATTCCTGAGGTTAAAAAAAAATTTGCACCCATATTTATTATTTTTCATCATAATGTTTCTTCATTTAAATATTCTCAAACTTTTTTTTTCAAGGTTTAAATTTGATCTTGCATTCCACATGCTTTCAGATTTTTTGACCCCTCTGTATATTTTCTGTTTTTCCCTCAGACTCTATTTTTATGTCAGATAGAATGAAAAAGGCAAGCGTTCTGCTCCACGGATAACTCACAGATTGTGGCACTTGGTGCTACTTCTTGTTGCCATGACTGCTCTGAGATCTACCATTTTAAAGACATTTTTTGTCACCTCAATGTGATGTTTGAAGAAAAAAGAAATAAAACTCTTTGAACAGCTTTTGGTTTATTAAGAAATTCTGATCTTTAATCTAACTGGAAATGGCAATTGCACACTTTCTCACAAAGACAGGGGGGTCACAGAATAAATATAGTCTCTGAATTTGATGGCTTATTTCTTTTAAATGCCTGGGGAATTTGTGATTTAGTGGTGAACGTAATGTTTCATAATTGCATGGTTTCATTTTGGAAGTCACAGGTGAGAATAAATGAGGATAAAGAGGTGAGCTTGAAAAGAGGGAAAATATGGTCTTTTAAGCACTCGTATATAAAAACTAACAAACGAGAGCTCTGAAAAAATCTGAAATGCGCACAGAGGAAGTGCACACAGTTGAAAAAGTTTGTGTTAACGCCTCTATAATTGAGTTCAAAAGCCTCGCTTCTTAGTCAAAATCCAAAGCAAATTAACGTCTGTCATCACTGCTGCAAAAGTCCGGACCGTACAGGTTGAATGTTGCCTTAATAAAATTAATTAGAAGTTCTTAACTAGATTTTGACTGCCACTTTTTTGGGTTTTGATGTGTCTTCTTTCTAGAATTAAAATATGACATGCATAGGAAAGTTTTCAAACACATTAGACAATAATGATCTCATTCGTATTACTTCCAAGTGCAACAAAAGGAGCCTTTCCAACTTTCAACACAATGAACAAAGATGCCAGTGTTTGGTTTAGAGCGATTTTTGCCAAGAGCTCCACTCCGCTTTAAATGGTACATTTAATAAAGAGCATGTACGGTTTGTATTTTAAATAAATGCCACTTTTCCCATATCGTCTCCCTGTAGTGGAGTAATTTCTAACACCAACAAGTTCTCATTGTTCATCTACAGCACAGAGGTGAAATACACTCTCTCTTTAGGGCGACAAAGGTGCATACATTTATCATGAGCGCTCTGTGTATCTATCTCTGCAGTACTCTCACAATGCAACGCCGGGCAACAAGGTCTCTGCAGATTCATAAGCGTGAAAAATGGATGAATAAATGCATGAACAAACAGTATGGAGAGGAAACATATTCATGAGATAAAACATTTATATTTGCATTCCCAACAAAGTGGGTATTGCAGTTTTCCTTCCTGTAAATATTAAATAAAGGACATACTGATAGAGATTAATTAAATACATTTCCACAGGTGCTGAGCCCCGGGTTCAAACCAGTCGGAGTTGTTATTGTCACATCTGACCTCGCTTGAGTCCAATTTGAATCAATATCCTCCCTGTGAAATTTGAGAAATGTGTCATAAAATTTAAAATAAACATGTTTTCATAGGCAAGCATTTCTTTGACTAAAAATAAATACAACAAAACATTTTAAAAAATCACACATTTAAACGTTTAACATAATTGCTTAATCAATATTACACTATCCTGAAACTAATATAGAAAAACGTCTCTGTTACGCATGGTAACCCTCGTTCCCTGAAGGAGGGAACGGAGACGTCACGTCAGTGACCGACGAATTGGGATATCGCTTCGATAGACCAATATACTTAGAGTGTAAACTAAATGAGCCAATGCACATTGGCATGCAATTATTGCATCCAGCTGCCGCTGATCACAGCGTGAGTATAATAAGGCAGCAGGTGCAATGCATACCAGCTTTTCGCTGAGGAGCCGAGCCGGTGACCCGGCGGCTCAGCGGTGGTACAGCAACCGTGGCGACGGGACGTGACGTCTCCGTTCCCTCCTTCAGGGAACGAGGGTTACCATACGTAACCGAGACGTTCCCTTTCAGTCGGTAACTCCGAGTCACGTCGGTGACCGACGAATTGGGATCCCTACCAAAGCACAATGGTGCTGCCGCTTCCAGTGCCCTGTGCAAGCCGCCTGCGCCCCTATCTGGTGTAGGCCGGGGCTCGGGACAAGTAGTTCCACTCACCATTTTTCATAGCACTACCTTACTGAGTGAGATGAAAATGTACCCGCTCCACTTGGAACAGGGATGCTGCGAAAGCCCCATCCTTCCCAAAGGAGTTTTCGGAAGCAAATACACATATAGCATCCGTTTAGGTGTATATGGAGAAACTGGAGGTGATTATAACCCTCTTGGACAGGCAGAAGTCTGCCGGGGAACACGGGCTCTAAGACTATACCGTGGATTATACACATACGAAACCCGCTTAGGTCTCAATATGGAACCCGGCCTTCCACGGTTGCCGCGGAGTCATCGTGAAGGCCCGGCGCCGGACGTTCCGCCACGTCCACTGCCGAGGGTGATGGAGGATCTCAACAGGGTCTACTGTACGGACACTTTGGAGCAGTTTTTAGCAAGCCAACACTAACCGGGGCCTCTCGGTGCCACTACCCGTTTGAAGTGAGAACACAGGAGGATACTGGCTCCACATGGAGGCTATAGAATCTAGCGAATGTGTTGGCGGTTGCCCAGCCTGCAGCTCTACAAATATCTGTCAGTGAGGCGCCACGAGCCAGCGCCCAGGAGGATGCAACACTTCTAGTTGAGTGAGCTCGCAGCCTGAACGGGCAGGGTACACCATGATGGCATCCACAATCCAGTGGGCCATCCTCTGCTTAGAGATGGCATTCCCCTTCTGCCGGCCTCCGTAACAGACGAAGAGCTAGTCTGAGGTCCTGAAGCTTTGTGTCCGGTCTACGTAGCATCTTAATGCTCGAACGGGACAGAGCAAAGCTTCCAGGGCTGGGTCTGCCTCCTCCGGGGGCAGCGCTTGCAGGTTCACCACTTGGTCTTTGAAGGGTGTAGTGGGAACCTTGGGCACGTAGCCGGGCCGGGGCCTTAGGATTACCTGGGAGTCAGCCGGCCCAACCTCTAGGCACGAATCGTCGACCGAAAATGCATGCAGGTCCCCTACCCTCTTGAAGGAGGCCAGTGCAAGCAGGAGCAGAGTTTTCAATGAAAGAAACTTTAGCTCAACTGAATGCAAAGGCTCGAATGGGCCCTGCTGTAGTGATTTTAGCACTAGAGACAGGTCCCAAGAGGGGGGCCGGGAAGGATTCAACCTCCTGGCCCCTCTAAGGGACCTAATGACGAGGTCATGCTTACCTACCGACTTCCCATTCACCGGGTCATGGTACGTAGCAATAGCAGCAACCTGGACTTTGAGGGTGGAGGGAGACAGCCTTCGCTCCAGCCCTTGCTGCAGAAAGGAAAGCACGACCGCAATCGGGCATCTCCAGGGGTCTTCTCAGCGAGAAGAACACCACTCAACGAACAGGTTCCACTTCAAGGCATAAGCGTGTCTCGTAGATGGTGCTCTCGCCGAAGTGATGGTATTCACTACCTCCTGGGGTAGGTCACCTAGAACCTCCGCATCCTGTCCAGGGACCAGACATGGAGTTTCCAAAGGTCTGGATGCGGGTGCCAAACGGTACCCCGTCTCTGAGTCAGTAGATCCTTCCACAGAGGAATCGGCCAAGGAGGGGCTGTTGAGAGTAGCACTAGTTCGGGGAACCAGGTCAGAGTGGGCCAATACGGCGCCACTAGCAAGACTCGCTCCTCGTCCTCCCGGACTTTGCACAGTGTCTGTGTGAGAAGGCTTACTGGGGGAAATGCATACTTGCGTAGGCACACAGCCAACAACTCTAGGCAATTGATGTGCCAGTGCAGTAGGGCCTTTGTTGACGCTCTCAAACCGCCCGCTGCTGCCGGCTGGCGAAGGAGGAGGATGAGTGCGGTCCGGCGTTGGTCCGTCCGCAACTCTCCGCGCCCTCCTGGGACCCAGAGATGAAGGAAACTGCTCTTTTGTCGTGAATTTGGGTACCGTCGGCCGTGAGGCCAATGGCGGGAAAAAACGAAACAAAAGATTCTCCACCCAGCCCTCCTCCGGGGGAGGGAGTGGTGCGTTCACCATCTCCCGAAGAGCAGATCGGGATGTGCCGGATCGCCTCAGTCTGCTTATGGGCAGCCGAGAACTGCTGGGCAAAGCTCTTGACTGCGTCGCCAAAGAGGCCGGTCTGGGACACAGGAGAATTGAGGAACCAAACCTTGTCGTTGTCGCTCATGTCTGCCAGACACAGCCAGAGATGGCACTCCTGGACCACAAGCGTGGACATCGCACGACCCAGAGAACTCGCGGTGACCTTCGTCGCTCTGAGCTCTTTCAGAACTTCCGGATCGGGACCACCCTCGTGCAGGTCCTTCAGTGCCTTAGCCTGGTGCACCTGCAGTAACGGCATAGCATGTAAGGCGGAAGCAACTTCCCCGCAAGCCGTATAGGCACTGCTGGTTAGACCAGACGAATGCCTACAGGCCCGGGAAGTACCGGGTCTCCCCGCCAGGAGGAGGCGGACTTAGGCGGACACAATTGCATCGCTACCGCTCGCTCCACCATCTGACTCAGGCCTCGCCACCGTCCCGGAGGGCGGCAGTGGGGCCGAATCTTCATCGGACAGCTCTCCCTCCGATGCTGAGATCAACATCTGGTCGGGGGGAGGTCCACTGGATACCGCTGGTACGCTCTTTAAAGAGGGCCCAGTGCGTTCCGTGGGTCGCTCCACTGGATCGGATGTGTAAGAGGAGTGATGGTCCCCAGAGGGTTGGTTCCCTGTGGGGTTTGCCATCACTGTAATCCTCAAACCGCCCACGCTACTGCTGGAAGTGGTTCTCGTCTGTCCGCCAGAACGAGTCCCAGATCGCGGCAACGGGACTCCGCCCCCTTCCGAGTAGCGGAGCCTGGTTCGCAGCTCCGAGATGGTCATATTCCCGCAGTGAGAACATGATTCATCCACGAAGGCCACCTCAGCGTGCTTGATACCCAGACACGTGAAGCAGCGATCGTGACCATCACCCGGTGCCAGGTAACGACTGCACCCAGAAACGCACGGGTGAAACGGAATCCTTATAAGGACAATCCGTCGTCTTTATAAAGACGCACCCGTGTAGCTCTTTTAGAGAAATTTGCTCTTTAGGAAATGCTCTTTTAGTGCTGAGGCGCACAGGGGAGATGGCCACTTGCAACATGACAGGGGTAGTGCAGCCTTACGTGCGCAACCCACTCGACACTGGAACGACCACTGCTGAAGCGCCGTCTCGCCAACACAAGACGCTTCCGAGGGCGTGCTGAACTCGTAGTTCTCGAACAGACACAGGTGAGCAGAAAGATGTTGTCGCTCGGCTCCGAAGCGAAAATCTGGTATGCATTGCACCTGCTTCCTTATCATACTCACGCTGTGATCAGCGGCAGCTGGATGCAATAATTGCATGCCAATGTGCATTGGCTCGTTTAGTTTACACTCGAAGTAGATTGGTCTATCGAAGCGATATCCCAATTCTTCAGTCACCGACGTGACTCGGAATGACCAACTAAAAGGGAAAGAACATTTATTCAATTCTATTTTGCATTGAATCTTTCAAAAAACAAGCTCTTGCTACCTAAACATAAATAAAAAATAAATAAAAATGAAGGTATAAGGAATATCATAGACACTTGGTATTTGACTGGCATAAGCAAGCAAACACTTAGCAACAGCTCAGAACGAAAGTGAAAAAGTGAAAGTGAAGTGAGGCCAAGTATGGTGACTCATACTCAGAATGATAGATCGACGGATGGAAAGACAGATAAAATTATGTATGGAATGATAGACAGACGGATAGAACAACAGACAGTCAGATAGAATAACAGACGGATGGATAGAACATCAGACAGACAGATGGATAGAACAACAGAAACACAAACATACAAACAAACAAACGGATAGACAGATAGAACAATGGATGGATAGAATGACGAATGGAGGGACAGACAGACAGATAGAACGTCAGAAAGAGATTGACTGACTGATTGACAGACAGAATGACAGACAGATAGATAGATGGATGGATAGAATAACGTCAGACAGACAGAATGTCAGAAAGAGATTGACTGACAGACAGAAAGTCAGACGGATAGAACGACAAACAGATGGAACATCAGAGAGAGATTGACTGACAGACAGATGTCTGACAGAAAGACAGATAGAATGGCAGACGGATGATAGACAGAGAGACAGACTGATGGAACATCAGAGAGAGATTGACTGACTGATTGACAGACAGAATGACAGACAGATAGATGGATGGATAGAATAACAGAGAGACGGATAGACAGACAGATAGAACGTCAGAAAGAGATTGACTGACAGACAGACAGTCAAACAGAAAGACAGACAGACAACGTCTGAGAGAGATTGACTGACTGACAGACAGACAGATAGACAGAATGACAGACAGACAGTCGGATGGATACAATAACAGAGACAGATGGCTAGAATGATGGACAGGTAGAATGACAGACAGATGGATAGACGGATAGAACGTCAGACAGACAGTTTTCATAGTACAGAAAATTCTGATGAACAGTATCAGGAATGTTGCGAGCCAGATTTAAACTCCCAGTGCCTGCTGTACCACTGCTCGCCACTGAGCATGTGCATTACAGCCCAATTTACTTCCATTTTTAATTGTGAATCTTTACAAAATCATGTAAGCAATTAGATGAGTTGAATACTTTCTTAAGTCAAAATGGATATCCTGAGGTCACACGTCTAAGTTGCTGTTACTGTATAATTAGCATCTCTTTCACTTATAAGACAAGGATCTATCAGCTAACAAGCCCTAAATACCACCTGTGTTGTCAGACAGTTCTAGGTAAGTCTGGGAGCCTCGCAATCATGTTTACTTCGAGCTGGAGCTCTGGCTCTCAGAGTCCCACATAAGCAGATGCTTGTACTGGCTTCTGGCACATTGAGCTGTGAGAAAAGTCACTTTCTTCCTCTCTCTTTGATCACTGCATATAACAGGCTGAAAAAAAGAAAAAAAAAACTTCAAGTTCATCACGCCGCAAATAATTACCACAGAAAGGTGGATCGCTCTGAGGAGCTTAGAGTAAACGGAAATTTTAACGGCTGATTTTCACAGCTCGCAGCTGCTTTGAAGTTGCTTAGCTACAACAAAAGGCTAAATAAGTTAAGAGAGTGCTTGGGTTTTAACTTTTTCCGCCATTTGACAAGTATTTGCTCTTATTTACCTATCAGAAGCAGCTTTGTTCTGTTTTAAAACAGTCCGTTTTTACTGAAAATTTCAGATAAGCGACCACGCATTAGACCCGTACAGTCAGCACCTTGTAGGAAATATGTAGAACAACCTGCATACGAATCATTCTCTGGCTCTTAAATTGCCAAACCACTCCTGTCCCCTCGGTGCCTGAGAGTCTTTAGGTCCCTTAAGATCGCGCCTGACTGGATTCATTAATGCAGGAGGAAGTCTCTCTCTGTCATCTCTCCCAGTCCACACTGCTCTGCGAGGCGGCTGATAAGTCCAGCTCAGCTCGTCTCTGGAGCTCTGCAGGGAGCTAAAGATCCTTCAGCAGGCTATGACTTCCATTCCTCAAGAGGGAATGCTGAAACTTTATGCAGTGGCAAGCATATTCGCATAAGCAAAAGCACTTTAATGATTCCCAGGTCAAGGAATCTTTGGTTCTGAATGTGTTCTCGAGAGGGAGAACTCTAATTATCAGTTGAGAGTGCCAAGTGATTGCAAACAAAATTGTTGCAGCAAACTAAATTTTCTGGTGAGTTTTCAGAGGTGTGTAAAGCACAAACCTGACAAAAAAGGCTGGTTCATATGGGTTAGTGCTGGTCTAGCTGTTAGTTGGACCACTATATCCATACTGTTTTCCAGCCAAAAGTTGATTTGCTGACCCTCTGATGCATATAACGTGTAATTCTGTAATATCAACATAACCATCTAAAAGCTATAAGTAAAGATTTTAACAGACATAAGTTATTAATAGCAAATAGCAAAAAAAGGGGCTATAGATAAAGTAATGTATAAAATCATAAATTAATCATATCATATATAATAATATACAAAGTAATATAACTATATATATATACAAACTATATATTTTAATGTAATATGACAGAAATATAAAAATGTATATATAATATAAACATTTAGAATTTCATGTAAAAGTATAATAAAATAGAAAAAAAAATTGTATATACAGACTACAACTCAAAAGTCTGGAATCAGTAATATAAAAAAATAATAATAAAACTACCGTAATTACTACTTTTATTCAGTGAAGAAAAAAAAAGTATTATAGGTGATGGTAAAGATATTTAAAACAAATACTATTCCAATACATCAAAGAATCTTGAAAAAATGTATCACTGTTTTCTAAAAAAAAAAAAAAAAAATTTCAAAATGTATAATGAGAAATGTTTTTACATTATAATAATATTTACAATATTTCACTGCATTTTTTTATTAAAGAAATGCAGCCCTGATAAGCATAAGATGTTTCTCTTAAAAACATTTTTTTATCTTACCAACCCTAAACTGTTGAATGATGTTTGAGTGTACACAGCAATTTACTATATCAAAATATATGTCCAATAAACCCACCTTAAATGGCACATAAATAACAAAACAAACTTTGGTTGGTCTCTTTACATATCAATCAGACAGTCTTTTTCTCTCTAAGCTAGAGATTCTTGGTCAGAAAAAGCTTCAATGCAGTTCAGATCTTATGCCATTTAGGTCTGGCTATGTGTGCCTATGGGTGAAAAAAATGGCACCTTGCTGGTTAAGCTACTTTAAAAAATAAGGCAAGTACACCAGAACAATGGCATCCCATGCAGGGAGCCAGCATCCAAATCACAACATATGCTGGTGACCACTTAACTTGGCATTTGCAGCAGGGAAAATGCCCATCTGCTGCACGAAGGGACTCAAAGCTGCCATGTCATCTTATTTAGCGTCTTACTTCTTGCTCAGATTCATGTTTTCTAGGGATGGTCTCTACAGTGTCCTCTCATTGTCTACTTACTGTCTTTGTGCGGATTTGTCCCGGAATTTCTTGACAGGAAAAGGATACTCATTTTGAGTCTCGGGTGGCAGCGTCAAGCAAAATTGCAAACAACTTTAAGAGTTCCGCCATAACACCAGCTGTAACATCTCAGTCTGATCTCCTATTAGACTGTCAGTAGCTTGCACAGCCCGACAGACCAAACGGAGACGAGTGGGACAGCTGTAGCAGCAGCCTAGCTGTTTAACACCTAGCTTTAGCGCTACACAGCACTGCCTTTTGAGTGCAGCAGCCAAGACTGTATACGGAGGAGGGGGGCGGTGACTCACAAGAGAACCTGTTGGGAATAGTTAAACACAACACTCCACGCAAATAATAAGCACTGTTTGTATTTCTCTAAATATTTCCCCGGCTCTTGGGAGAAGAGAGCCACAGGGAAGTTTTCCTCCTACTAAAGATGTTGACCTTTACAAATAGAGTTGTGTCTCAGCCAAGGCTGGCTTCTCTCATACTCGGCCATTTCTTTGCAGCAAGCTTCTTTCATATTCATTTCAAATCACACCATTTCTTTTATTTTTTTCATACAGTCGCCCACAGCACTGCTTTGTGCTTTAATGTGAATTAGCAGTTTGTACTGGAGATGGGCAGAATTAGTGGTACGCTGATGCTTTTATTTGGACATTCTGAATGGCTTTAGCATTGTAAGGTCATGCAAATGCATGAGCACGTAAAACTTGAAGTCATACACAAGACAGGTATGGAAAGATGAGTTATAAATGCCCATAAGTCAGAGCATTCTGAGTGCTCTGACATACTGAGTGGTCATTCTCATAGGAGTGCCAGGTTTGAGTACAGTCTAAGTGATAAAAATTCAACATAAATTAAACATAAATTAAACATAAGACAATTATTTATTTATAATAAAAAATTAACAAAATACTGTATACACAAATACACGCCATTTATAAATATATTAAAGAAATATGCAAGATGTTATGCAGAGCATAAGAATAGCACTGTATATTAAGTAAATAAGATACAATTATTTTTTTAATATAATTGACAAAATATTCAAAATATATTTATATATATGGACACACACACCATGACAACTACGAATTTTGGTGAAAAGTAGAATACAAATAAACTGAGTTGAATTATTCTCTTCAGGTTTATACTGTATGTAATAGAACTCTAGATGTGGATAAAAAAAATTTTGATTATTGAATTATGCATAATATCACCATCAAAAAAGTCTGAAAACCCCTGCTCTAGAACAACAACAAAACCTAAATAGTAAGAGACTTAGGGTACATTTACACGACAACAATATACCATAAACAGAAAAGTTTTGCCTTTGTGCTTTTGAAACGTTTTGCGTACAGATGTCAACGTCATGAAAACGATCCCCATTCACACGGATCTATAAAAACGACTAAAAACACTGTTGCCGATGTTACTTTGTAAAGACACACTACACGCGCACATACCCATAGACTGAACACATAATATGCATGCATATGACGTTACCGTTTTCACAAATCCAGATTTCTGTAGTTTACACAGAGATGATAACTACATCATTTGCAAAAACTTGCACTTTAAAAACAGTTTTCAATATTTGTGTAAATGAACAGCCAAAACGTATAAAAAGTTTTCCGGTTTGTAGTTGAAAAAGGTGTTGAGTAAATGCCCCCTTAATCTCAAGTCTTCCTGTTATCCCCATTTCATTTCATTGTCTTCTTGGACAAATGAACAAATACAAATATTGAGCACATAGAAATCTAATTTGTGAATTTCCCTGCACTGGATACACCTGCAAACACAAATACACACTTCATATGTAAACACGCTCATACTCTCACATGCAGGCACTTATTAAGATCTCCTCCTCTACCTGCAGAGAAACACCCTTTGTGTGTCATACTCAATGGATATCTTTTCGCTCGCTCTCTCACACGCACACAGATTTGGTTGGCTCAGCGGGGGAACTTCATGCTGTGTGCTAAGGGACACGGGTGTTGTATTATACCAGGGGTGACAAATGAAAACTGGCATACTAAGAGAAACGGCAGCTTATTTGGTATGCTAATGTGAGAGGGAGAAAGAAAACACAGGAGGCTGGCGTGGAGCCCATGCAAGAGAGATCAATTCACTCCAATTGGCTCCAGCCATCCTTGGTTTTCTCCAGAATGTCCCACTGGGAGAACTGCAGCATCCACCAGGGACTCCATCTCTCTTTTACAGCACCTATTCTTCAAGTTGGTTTTAAAGCCCAGACGGCAGCGCGCAACACAAAGCAACGTTAGCAAAAGCGCAATAGTAGCTACTAGCATTGTTGTGCAACACTCCTTCAGAAATGGACTGTTTTTACATGACTACTTAAATGATTGCAAGATTTTTTTAATATACATTTTTAATAGACACAATAATCAGAAACGGTCCTGTTGGCCCTGGCGTGTGGTACGAACGCCCATTAATTAATCCAAAAGCAAAGAAATCCGTGAAGTGAGCCTCTCAGTATAACATATGGCAGACGCAAGAAGGCCCCAAACCAAAAGCATATTGAGAGGCATTTACATGGAAGTCTTTGGAAAGGTAATAAACTGCTGCATGGAGTTTTTAAGGCTCTAGAAGAATCAAGTTGCAAAAGCCCTGGGCAGTTTTAATGTACAGTTCAATAGCTGATTTAGATAATCCCTGGATTCTCAACCGATCAATTGCAAAAGTAAAAGAATAATATTTTTAATTAGTAGTGCATACTAAAGGAGACATCACTATTACCTAAAACTTTGGGTGCTGGGGATTTGAACAAACTCCTAATCCTAAGTATATTCAACTTTAGAGCGTAACATCCTGGATCGCTCATGCAATGGATATATGAATGATACCTCAAAGTCGTGTACCATTACTTTTTGGAATGATTTTTACTTGGAAAACTATAAAACAGGTCTAAAATCCTGTAGACTTAAAGGGATAGTTCACCCAA